GTAAATTAACCTACAGCTATACCTAGGTATATTTACAGCTTGCTGTTAGGTTAATTAGTGCTTTAAAAAGAACAGACTGATAACAATAAACCAGCAGTCGGCAACCTTTCAGAAGTGGTGTGCCAAGTCTTCATTTATTCATTCTAACTTAAGGTTTCGCGTGACAGTAATACATGTTAATGTTTTTAGAAGGTTTCTTCCTATAAGTCTATAATATATAACTAAACTATTGTTGTATGTAAAGTAACTAAGGTTTTTAAAATGGTTAAGAAGCTTCATTTAAAATTAAATTAAAATGCAGAGCCCCCCCGGACTGGTGGCCAGGACCCAGGCAGTGTGAGTGCCACTGAAAATCAGCTCGTATGCCGCCTTCGGCACGTGTGCCATAGGTTGCCTACCCCTGCAATAAACCCTAAAATCTTTGTTTTTAAAGGGGGGGGGGAAAAGAGAGAGAGAAAGTCATTGAATTCAAATGGATTTTGCTTATGTTACATAGCAGCAATATAGACAGAGGTGACCTCTTCCCAAGGCTTGGAAAACACCAGCTTCTTTAGTCCCCTGGTGCTCCGGGGGGGGGAGGGAGGGGAGAAGAGACACAGTCAAACAGCAGCTGGTGTATTTTGATGTAAGAAACCATAGGCTGGATAGAAGGTTGTACATAGCTGTTTTCTGTAGTTGCGAGTGCAGTAAGCCTAGTTGCTGTGATTGCTATCAACCAACATCTCTGCTCAAAGCAGTTATCAACCAACATCTCTGCTCAAAGCAGTTAGAAAAACTGAGCATGTTATAAAGAAAAGGAGTTGGAAAGAGTAACCTGAATTGTGTCCTCATTTTTTCCTGACTAGGAAAAGCCCATTCAAGTAGGGTTACCGTACGTCCGGATTTTCCCGGACATGTCCGGCTTTTGGGGGCTCAAATCCCCGTCCGGGGGGAAATCCCCAAAAGCCAGGCATGTCCGGGAAAATCGGGAGGAAGGGAGGGCTCGGCCGGGGCCTCTTTGTCTGGGGTCGGCGGTGCGGGGCCGGGGGCATGGTGCCGGGCCGGGAGCCGGTCCAGGGTCGGGGAGCCGGGCCCGCGGGGCCGGGAGCCGGACCGGGGTCCGGGCCGGGAGCCGGTCCAGGGTCGGGGAGCCGGGCCCGCGGGGCCGGGAGCCGGACCGGGGTCCGGGCCGGGAG